ACTGAAACATAGTCCCCACACCTCTAGAAAGGATGCAGTAGATCAAGAAGTATTTGCTGATTGATAGATTGCATTACTGATGAGGCCCTGTAGTGGGAAAATGGCTTGGCCAGGCATGGGAAAATGGCGTTTATGTAATTCTCAATACAGACACTACAATTCCTTGCAACTTGTTACAAAAATTATCAAAGACTTCACTGTTGCCTTGACGTTGAGATGGGCTATCACTTAGAACTCCTCCTTCAGCCTCCGAACTGACACTTTCTAGGAGGGCTTCCTACACTGACATCATCATCACAAGGGCTGCCATGTGGTGTTCAGCACCTGCCTTGTGTACGGGTTTTCTAAGTTTAGCTGCTATAGTCCCCGCTGCAACTCTATGAGGAGGCTGTGCTAACTCCAATTTGCTGAATGGGAAACTGAGGCCCAGAGGGCAAAACGACTTGCCTGATGCCATACAACTGGAAAGTAGCAAGGTTGGGATCTGAATACAGGCTTGTCTAATTCCAAGGCTTCCATATTCTCCACTCCTTCAAGCTGCCAGGGAAGACAGGAGGAGATGCAGTTATTTGAGCTCCAGAAAATCCAGCATGCCAATGAAAGAGCCATGGCTTTTGCAAAGATCCAGCCAAATCCACGTACTGATGAGAAATATTCATTGGTGGGGGAGCTGATCTTTAGAGAGCCCATGCACTTTTCAGCATCCCAGTGCTCTTCGTGATGCATCTTGAACCCCAGGCCTCACTCTGCTCTCAGCTTCCTGCTATCTCACTTGGAGCAAGTGCTTTTTCTCCAGGGATGAGGACCTCACTTGGAGCAAGTGCTCTCTCTCTGTAGGAATGAGGATGTCTTCTTATGCTCTAACCCCCTGGTTGGTCTATCCGCACATTCTCATCCATAGTGGATGGCTAGTTAGTCTAGTGTTTCGCGAGTACACTTGGTAGCATGTTAGTAGATGTTAAGATAGAGAGTTTTTTTGGTTAAGTTTGGGAAACTGTGATTAAATTAAGGTAAAAAGATTATTTTCTATAGGACTTCTTAGGGCTTTTAGTATGCTAAATAACTTTACTAAAATCCCAAGAGAGAGCTATAAACTTTTCATTTCCCAAATTTATGTAATCACAGAACCTTTTAATCAGGGCCATCTTGGGAGATAGAATTCTGCCCTACATAAGCCCTGAGAGAGATCCAAGAACCTGATAAAAAATTAGGGGTGAGCTGAAGAGTATTTTAATCAAGTGTAGAGGTAAGACCAGAATCAGAACAAATTGTGATTGCTAACAGCTAAGACCTTAGAAATATAAAGATTTAGTTGTACTTAGATGTTTATTTCTTTATCTAGCTTTCACTATAAATCTTGTTCTATATGATAATTATTTTTACTGTTCATTGTTTAAAGTTGTTTTGTTAGTGACAATCTTGCATTTTTAACAAGCCCTCCAGGTAATCCTTATAATGCAAGACGTCTGGGAAGTATTTCAACCGGAAGAGAACGCTAATTTCTAGTCCAGGGGCAGCGTACCCAGAACGTTAATTCTTTTTTGTTTATTTTTGAGAACAAATTGGTGATTATCTTGAAAATGGGATCTGCAAACTTCCACGTATAAAGAGGCCGCAGCCATAGCTCCCTCGTCCTCAGCAGGTGGTGGGTGGAGAGGGATGTCTGCTCACTTTGACCAAAGATAATGACTACTGTCTCGTGATGTATTCCTCGGCTCATAATTATGTTACAGGCAATCTGAACTCTTCTCACCGCAGTTGACTACCAGGGAGCAATTTGGTTAGAGGACATAACTCTACTTGGTTTTATTTCTCCCTGTTTATAGATGGGGAAATAAAAATCCAGGGTGCTCAGCCATCTGGCAAGCTTTACACAGAAGGTGCTGGCAGGTGAGGGATTAGAACTCAGATTCCTGGCAGCAGGCAGACCCTTTAGATACCATTCTGAAAGATCCAACAGTGAATGAGGGCAATGTTGGCAAGGATGGCAACTCTGGGTATTTCCAACAGCTCCATGTAACTGCTGAGAAGACAGTCCCCATCTGCTAAATAAGGTGATGCTTTGGCAGGCTCAGGTGACACGGATTAGGCAACCCAACCCAAACCCATGCTTTTGTGATCTGCACATCACCTTTCTCCATCATGCTTCTCTAGCTTATACCAGGGTGGCAGAGGTGAGCCACACGTCAGAGGCTGCCACTTGCCACCTCAGCACTGCAGCTAAGGGAGGGAAGGGAATCAGAGACACTTATGCCTTTTCTTGTTTGCTTTGTGCTCTCACCTGGAGCTTCAGCTGAGCCTGCCTCAGCTTTCTTCCTAGGAAGGGCATGTGATCTTCTGCTTTTAAAAGATCCAGAGAATATGAGGGGTTTCACCTTACCAGGAGGGGCTGTCATTCAATGGATGGGTGGAGTAAATGTCTCAAGGAAGAACTCGCCGTGGAATCCTCTTCCTGGATTGTCTGTGGATGAATGATGTTAATTAAAAAATCCAAACATATACTGCTGAACACTATGTATTTAAATTTTCAAAACAATCCTGCAAGTAGGATAGATGTCACCGTTTACAAATAAGGAGAGAGAGAGAAATCAAGTACCTTTTCCAAGGTCGCTACATAGTGAGAGGTAGACATAGGATTTGAACCTAGGTCTTTGGACTTCCACGATGACAGGTTTTCTCTTAGACCACAACTGTCTAACTCCTGTGTGGCATTTTGTGATTTTCAAAGGATTTTCACTTACATTATCCTGCAAGTCTCACCACAAACCAGCAAGGTAGGAAAGGGTTTGACAGGTTAGAACACAGACTTACGTTAAATCGTTGTGGTCAACCAACCTACCTGTTCAGTGCAAGGTTATCCGCCCTACCTGTTCAGTGTAGGTCTCACTCTTTTCGATCCCAGGTTGTTTTTCTAACCCTTCACTCCTATTCAGCTTCCTTTCCTCACCTTTGGTGAGTTTCTTAGGGATGCAAAATTGTCTTGAGAAGAGCCAGGGCCAAACGTGTTATCCTTTCCCATTCTCCCAAACAGAGTCCTAGCAGTCGCTAAATGTACAGTGCTTGCTGTGTGTCAGGCACTGGGCTAAGCGTTTTATAGGTTTAATGCTCACAGCAACCCCATGAAGTACTTGCTGTTATTAGCCCCATTTTTACAGTTGATCAAACCAGACCCATAAAAGTTAAGTAACTTGTCCAATGCCTAAAAGCTGGTGGATAGTGGATCTGAGATCTGACGTCAGACGAGCTTCAGAGCAGAGAGCTGAGAATTAGCTGCAGAGCTCTTGAAGCGCTCAACTCAAGGTGCTCCACAGATTCTCAGACCAATCCTCTGCCCTGGTCTGGACTGTTCAGAAACCAGAAACTCAGAGAGGCAGAGTGCCCACTGCCAATTTGGCTGGAATTCTGGACCTAGAACCCCACCAATTTCTGAGGGAAATCAGTTCCCCCTGCTCCTGTCATATGTGTGAAATCTCCCATGCAGACAACCTGAGAATTTGCTCTTGCCCTGTGTGGGGGGTTTGGGTGTGGAGGTGGGTTGGATGGGGGTGGGGGTTGGCTGAGCTCTTGGGGGTGAGAGCGGTAACTCACCATGTGTCATTCCTTCTGCCATCAAGGGCTCTCCATCCTTCTACTCCTGGCCCATATGGAATAGCCACGGTCTAGACAGGGCTTCCCAGACTTCCTGCATTGTATTGGTTACCTGGAGGGCTTGTTACAAATGAAAACCCTCAAGCCCTTCCTCTGAAGATTTTCACTCACAGGGCTGGGGTGAGAGCTGGTTTTAGGTATTTGCATTTTTAGACATCGGTCATCAGTCAGTCAACACGTTCATGCTGTGCTTACCCTATACTAGGAGCTGGACATTTAGGGTCATTTAGGACGGACGGGACTCAGGCCTTGCCCTCAAGAAGCTCAGGGACTGGAGAGTTACGGACAAGTAAGCAGGTCAGTATACTTTATGTCATGGCTATGATGGGAAAAGTACAGGGTATGGTGGGAAGACAAGGAGAGGCATCTGACCCAGACCAGGGAGTGAAGCAGGGAGGAGATCCCCTCCAGAAGATCTGAGTTGGGGCCTAGACATAACACACTCCTCCTAAGACGAGTGGGGGCCTTGAACCGACTCTACCAGCCAGCTGGAGGGTTTCCGCATTCTGTCCCCTTTTGCTTCTGGGTCCAGAAATCACCTGCTGTCAGTCTAGGATGGTCGGGGGAGGGCTTGGCCTGAGACCCCTCCTCTGCGCATGGTCTCCCCTCTTCCCGAGCCTCACACTGGGTTGCCCCCCTGTTCCAGGAGCCAGACATGTTTAGCTCCACTGTAATTTCTTTCCCATAAGTAGCATTTCTCAGCCCAAACTCCAGGTTTGCTGAGATGGATGCCTTTGGCTGAGGTGCTGGCAGAGCAGACTCTGTGGGCCTGGGCCCTTCTCACTTCCGCACCCACTCCACGCCCTCTGAAGAGTTGGGCACAGGTGGTATGCCACCTGAAGACAAGGCCCAATGATGGGAGAGACTGGCACAGCCACTGCAGGAGTCTGTAGACACCTGGTGCTGCAGGGAGGGACCCAGCCCGCCTGAAAGAAGGTTGTCTGGTTCTCACCCTGTGTCATGGAGCTCATGGCTCCTGATCCTCTGGTGTCTAAAGCTGCTTCCTTCCTGCTGGATCGGGTGTTGCTTGGGTTCCCTGAAACCCTTGAGGACATCACACAAAGGGAGGGAGGAGAGCTCCAGCATTTTGTCAACTGAGGCAAGTTTAGGTGATTAAGCTAAGAAAGCAAAGCCACTCTGACCCAGAGGATTATCTTTGAGGTGTGTCTGGAACCAAGAAGTAACTTAATGCCTACGAGGCAGACCAGACCCAAGATGACTCTCAGCTAATTGCCCGTCTCTCCTTTTGCCAAGCCAAGCTCCCTGGTATATAAAGTCCAGTCTCCTCTGTTGTCCCCATCCCTCTCAACTCTTGCTAAGTGATCACTAGCTTGCCTCGAGACTCTCTCACTATGAACAGACAAGTCTGCAAGAAATCCTTCAGTGGCGGGAGCCAGGGTTTCTCTGGCTGCTCTGCCGTGGTCTCCGGCAGCAGTAGGATGAGCAGTGTAGCCCGCTTTGGGGGAGCTGGCGGAGGGGCCTGTGGCTTCCGGAGTGGAGCAGGCGGCTTTGGCAGTCGCAGCCTCTACAACCTGGGTGGCAACAAGAGCATCTCCATCAGCGTGGCCGCTGGCGGCTCCCGGGCTGGTGGCTTTGGTGGAGGGCGTAGCAGCTGTGGCTTTGGAGGTGGTTATGGAAGCGGCTTTGGGGGCAGCTATGGTGGTGGCTTTGGTGGTGGCAGAGGAGTAGGTAGTGGCTTTGGAGGGGCTGGTGGCTTTGGAGGGGCTGGTGGCTTTGGTGGCCCTGGTGGCTTTGGTGGGCCTGGCAGCTTTGGGGGTCCTGGTGGCTTTGGCCCTGGGGGCTTTCCTGGGGGAATTCAGGAAGTGACTGTCAACCAGAGCCTCCTGCAGCCCCTCAATGTGGAGATCGACCCCCAGATTGGGCAAGTAAAGGCCCAGGAGCGGGAGCAGATCAAGACCCTCAACAACAAGTTTGCCTCCTTCATCGACAAGGTGAGGGCAAGGCCGAGAGGTGTTGTGGAGGGCTGGGGGTTCCCAGGGGTTGGTGCAGAAAGATGCCATGGGACCTGTGAGACACAGCGCAGGGGTGCCTGACTCTTGTTCTGCTGCTGCCTTGGTCCCTACAAGACAGTGAGCCTTTCACTGTCTTTCACTCAGTGGGCCTTGTTCTCCCAGCTGTGAAGCGGGGGAGGAGGGGGGAAGAATTCCTGGTCCTGGTTTCCTGCTAGGAATGAGATGAAGGTAAACGAACTGAGAGTCCAAACATGTTCTTTGCTCTTTGAAGAATGAGGCGTTAGTCATGAAATTATTGCAGTTACTTTAATTCCTCCTGAAAAGCAATTGCTTGATAATCCAAACTAGCTGATCATGAAAACTTGAGTTAGCACAGATCTTGGGCCTGCCTCTAAATGAGAAGTATTGGCAGCTGCCTCATCTTCCAAACGATGTTGTGCTTCAGCCAATATTAAACTGAGCTGTCCGTGCTGGGGCAGAGAAGGGTGTGCTGGGTCTGTGGAGGACTGAGCCCCGGATCTGAAGTGAATTCTAGGTCAGCTGCAAGCTGAATAACTGAAAGGTTATATATGTGAAACCTCTAAAGAAATGTTAAATCTCACTGACTGTTTTCACTGCCTTTATGGAGCTGAAAAAAGCTTACATAGAAGAAACTTTGACAAATAGCTTTATTTGTGCTGACCTCCTTTAGTTGTATCCTGAAGGATCCCTTTAGACCCAGGGCAGTCCTGGGTTTGATTCTTAGCTCTGTCACTCAGTAGACTCGTCACTTTGGGAAACTTAAATTCTTTGAGTCTCAGTTTTCTTATCTACAAAATGGGGATCACAGCAATAAAGGATAGGGGATCACCTGTCCTTTATAGGTGGTTATGAGGATTAAATGTGATGGAAATACATGAAAAGAACAGCTATGGCATAATCACGCAACAAATTCTAACCCTCCATTTTCTAACTCTTCATCCGTTCCAAATTAAAAAACAGGGGCAATTGCAGATTGAAGAATTGGGTTCCTTCTCCACATTTCCACCATTTGGGATGGGTGGCCCCACATGCCCAACTCCAGAGGCTGACTCTTTTCCTTCTTCCCCTGATGCAGGTGCGGTTCCTGGAACAGCAGAACAAGGTCCTGGAGACCAAGTGGGAACTGCTCCAGCAGCAGACCACAGGCTCCGGCTCAGGGCCCAGGAGCCTGGAGCCTTGTTTTGAATCCTACATCAGCTTCCTGCGCAAGCAGCTGGATTCACTTCTAGGGGAGAAGGGGAACCTGGAGGGAGAGCTGAAGAACATGCAGGACGTGGTGGAAGACTTCAAAAAGAAGTGAGGGCTCCTCCTGGGGAGTTTCCCCTTCTGGGGAATTAGCAGGGAGGCGTGGTCCTAATTTGGGATTTTGGCTGTTTCCAACTGTGCCTTCAGTCAGTACTCTGGGATAGATTTATTGAGTGAAGCATGACCAAGCAGAAGCGGGTGAGAGGATGCGGGCTGAGACTTCTGTGTGGCTATGACACAGATTTCAGTCTCCAGGCAGGCCCCCTCCTATTCCAGCTCAGAGGGACAAAAGAGTCCTCCCAGAGTTTAGAGCCTTTTAGGATGGGCAGTCCGCCACACTTGACTGTACATAGGAATCACCCGGGATGCTTGTCAACAGTGCGTATTCCTGTATTGCAGACCTAAGTGTTCTGAATCACAGATGTGGGGCAGGTCCCAGGGGTGTGAGTGCTCCCCAGCTCCTGGGGGTTCTAGGCAGATGCCCGGAGCTGCGCTTTGTAAAGGCCTCTTTCAGTGTTTCCGGCCCACTCTCCTGTTCTGTGGCTTTGGTTTGCCTCCTCCCCTACGATCCAAGTTGCAGTCCATACCTGCTGAGGTCTGTGAGGCGCGAACGGGGCCTCCTGAGGTGGGAGGGAGCTCCAAATTTCTCCAGGGGTCAGAACCTACAGGATGGGCACACCTGCTCTGTGGAGGCCCTATTCCAATTCAGCCACACATGCGTGATGTGACTGGGAATCCAGCGGCAACTCAGATTCACATTCCCAAAAGAGGTCCCAGAGGCTTCTTTTCTCCTAGAGGGAAGAAAAGAGCTCCTGCCCAGAGAACTATTTTCTCCTAGAATCAGTCCGGTTCCTCAAGCTTTATGAAATCCAAACCCTTGGTATTAGATTTTAGTCCTTAATAGGCAGGAATCCCACATCTTTGATGCATTCAGAAGACGTGAGTTCATTCTTAACAAGAAGTAACTGTAATGAAGGAAATCAGAAAACAGAGGCAGAAAAGCCCAATGAGAGCAAACATTTTATTGGGTTTCATATGCACATATTGTGCTTCACAAAGTCAATCAAAGAGCCCAGGCAAGTAGTCAAGCTCCTAGAAGTCTGCCCTCTCACCCTGACTGTCCATACCTCTGCCCGCCACTGGATTTAGAAGGAAGTGGCCCAGGCAGCGCCCTGAGCTCTGAGAGGTCTCTGGGTAGGACCAGCTACATAATTTTCAGGGCTCAGTGCAAAATGATAATACAGGAACCTAGTTACAAAATTATTAAGAATTTTAATCATGCCTGTAATTCCGGTACTTTGGAAGGCTGAGGTGAGAGAATCACTTGAGCCCAGCAGCTGGAGGCCAGCCTGGGCAACAAAGTGAGACCTTGTCTCTACTAAAAATTAAAAAGCTAACTGGGCATGGTGGTGCAAGCCTTTGGTTCCAGCTACTCAGGAGTCTGAGGCGGGAGGATTGCCTGAGCCTGAGAGGCTGAGGCCGCAGTGAGCCGTGCTTATGGCACTGTATTCCAGCCTGGGTGACAGGGTGAGACCCCGTCTCAGAGAAAAAAAAAAAAAAAGAAAGAGTGTCAAGATGGTGCCAGCATTGAGGTGAATGTGGCGACCCTGAGCTCAGGGTCCCATGTAACTGCCCAGGTCACATGCCCATGAAGCTGGTCCTGTCTCTGCACTGGTGGGGAGACTGCCTGGAATTCTCATCTTTCTTTTTCACTCCTGAAATGTCACTGGTCAAATATTTGCCTCTTCCTGTTCCAGGTATGAGGATGAAATCAACAAGCGCACTGCGACGGAGAATGAGTTTGTGGGGCTCAAGAAGGTAGGTGAGCCTGGACCAGCATATCCAGGTTCCCTTTCTGGGAGCTGTTCCCCATGGAGAGAGAGCACAGCCAGCTCTTGTGGGGGGCAGTCACCTTATCCTGTGTGTGGGATTGACACTTTTCCTTGCATTTTTGGAAATGAAATGTTTAATGAAGGAAGCCACTCTGAGTACATTACCATGAGAAGGTGTATTAAAATGTTACTGTGACTAATGAGCTGATCAGCATTATGAACTAATAACAAGCACTTTATGTGTAGAATTAATCAAGATTTTCAGCCTACAAATGTACTCCAGATGCTGTTAATAATAATCAGCAAATACTTGTAGCATATTTAAACCGGTCATCATAAAGATGAAGTAGTGGGAATACCCTAATTTCTGTTCAGGAGGATGGGGTTTCTGGTACTATATAGCCAAAGTCACATACACATCAGGTAAATGTGATTTTTCTACTCTAAAATCAGATGGTTACTCTGTGCCTTATGGTTTGTATTTTGTTAAAGCATTGGGGTTTGATACGTTGAGCAATTAAAAGGAAGAACGCCGCTTTGATTTTCCTTACTTAAAGTAGACTTGGGAAGTAGAAAAGGGAAGTAGAAAGTAGAAAGGTAGAAAATTTCACGTAGAAAAGGGAAGATGAGAAGTCACAATTGGGAGGGGATCTGGGGGAGGAACAAAGATGAGACGTGAGGGCTTAGGAAAGAGCCGCTGGGTGGGAGGGGAACTGAGGGTCATTCTCTGGGTTTCTGACCTCCCCTGCAGGATGTGGATTCGGCTTTCATGAACAAGGTGGAGCTGCAGGCCAAGGTGGACAGCCTGACAGATGAAGTCAACTTCCTGAGGACCCTCTATGAGATGGTGATTCCTTGGTTTGCCAAGCTCTGGAGCCTTCCTGTCTGCATCTTCCCAAGCATAACTTTAGGGACAGCCGAACAGCACAACACTCACAAAACCAGGAATGGGGCTCAGAACTCAGCTCCACTCCACCTGGGAAATGTTAACTGAGCTTCCTTAGTCTGCGCAGGCCTGGCCCACAGGTCCTCAGGCCATTTTCCTCTGCGTCTTCTCTCTGCCTCCTATACCTGTATCACAGCTGGCATCTTCACAATACTCCTCCCTGCTGGGGGCCCACGGAAACCTACGCAATAGGGCTCGTCGGCTGATACCTTCAGGCTGACAACCCGATTATATTTGCATATTTCCTTTAGCCTTGTGTTCTAGCACCTTTTAGGCTGAAGCCAGGCCTGAAGTATGAGCTGCTTTATCCAACTGATATACTTCTAGCCCCATCCTTGGGGTATCTCTGCTAGTAGAGGCTTCCCAGCATCTTTTGGGCCAGGGGATAGTGAGAGTAACTATCCATGTTTCCTAAAGGAGCTGTCCCAGATGCAGAGCCGCGTCAGCGACATGTCTGTGGTTCTGTCCATGGACAATAACCGCTGCCTGGACCTGGACAGCATCATTGCCGAGGTCCGCGCCCAATACGAGGAGATCGCCCAGAGGAGCAAGGCTGAGGCCTGAGGCCCTGTACCAGACCAAGGTGGGAACCCTCCCTGTGTCCTTAGATCCTGATGACCTTCATCAAGAATGTGCCGACACTGTGCAAAAGCCATGTTGATTGGTTTTCCTCTGTCAGCTTGGGGAGCTGCAGACCACAGCTGGCAGGCACGGGGATGACCTGAGGAATACCAAGACTGAGATCATGGAGCTCAACAGGATGATCCAGAGGCTACGGGCTGAGATTGAAAATGTCAAGAAGCAGGTGGGGCTGGGTTTAACAGAGAGATCCCGGAGGTCAGGCCCCGGGGAGAAGCAGCACCAGCTCTGCTCCTCTGCCACAGGTCCTCTCTGTCCTTTCATGGTGTCACACGTGGGGATAGCACAGTCTTTGGGAAACTCTGTTCTCCCAGATATTTCTCTTGGAGGCTGAGCTTCTTGGAATGTTCACTCAAGAAAGATGTTTGCTTATTCCGGTTTGTCTAGTAAATCCTACCACTGCAGTCACTGCAGTGTTGGACTTAAACACTCAGCTCTCAGCAGGATCTACCTTTCTATCTAGTGAAGCTGTTTCTCACACAGTTCACAGAACCTTGATGGCTGCTCTGTATTATTGAATGAAGTGATTAAGCAAGAGAGTTTTTAACAGTCTTGCAAAAAAGATTAGAGACTAACCAGACCACTACTACTTTTAGCAGCATAGGAAAGCAAATCAGTGCTCCCTTTCTTGATGAGCCACAAGTTGATTTCGATGGGCCAAAGATGAATTAACCAACTGTTAAACTGACTTCTTTTCTTGAACATGTTCCATTGAGATTTCTAAGAAAAGGGAGGAAGGGATGTAGGATGTGGGGGAAGAGATCTACTTCTAGCAAAGATCAAGTGTTTGTTTTCTGGTCATTATGTTAATTGATCTTCCACTTCCTCCTGTTCCAGAATGCCAACCTACAGACTGCAATTACAGAGGCTGAGCAGCGTGGAGAGATGGCCGTCAAGGATGCCAATGCCAAGCTCCAAGACTTGCAGGCTGCCCTACAGAAGGCCAAGGATGACCTGGCTCGGCTCCTGCGTGACTACCAGGAGCTGATGAACGTCAAGCTGGCCCTGGATGTGGAGATTGCCACCTACCGCAAGCTGCTGGAGGGAGAGGAATGCAGGTGAGGGGCTGTGGGATCACCATTCTCCAGATATGGTTTTAGAGTGACTTTTGATAATGTGTAAAGGGGGCAAGATGATAAGCAGAGAAACACTCAGACAAAGGGCAGGAGTGTCTTGGATGACAGTCAGGGTTCAAGGCCCCACTATTTTAAGTCCATCAGGATCATCCAACTCTCACATGTATCATGGACATCAATATTATACTACCTATCTGTACTGATCTTCATTATGTTCAATGCATTGGGAAGGTTCTTTGGCATTATGACAAGTGGTAGACCCGTGCTGTCCATTGGAAGTTTCTGAGATGATGAAAATGTTCTATTTTTGCACTGTTTAATACAGTAGCCATTAGCCACTGGAGCACTGGAAATGTGGCTAGTGCAACTGAGAAACAGAGTTTTACGTTTAATTTAATTTGAATTAACTTAAACAGCATCATGTGGCTACTGGCTACCATATTGGAAAACTCAGTATAGACAAGCCCCACCCGTGAAGCTGAGTCCATACGGGAGATGGGTGATACATCCGTGCTCCTGGAAAATAATACAACATTAAGCAGAAGATAAAGGCTTAGTGAGTGGTTATCAAAGGAGTGTCAAGAATTGAGAGATCTTTCTGCAGAGTTCCTGCCCAATGCATCATGTGTTCAGAGGGAAGCTATTCCTCTGTCCTCAGGTAGCTCCCAATCTGATGGAGAAAACAGAAGCCAAGTATGAGAAGGAAAGTGAGAGTGAAGATGATGTCCAGTGTACTAGGAGTAATGGGATGAGGGGGGAGTGGTTGACATCAGTGGGCACACATTGGCAAGGTGTGTAGGCCCATTCCATATATTCTCAGATATGTGGCTGTGCCTGCTCCATGAACAGGAATGAAACACAGGAAGATGGGCAGTGTAGGTGGGACATTTCAAATCCATCCTGTGTTGAGTGTCAGCCCCTCCCATACTTTCTCCACTCTGAACAACTCCCATCACGTCCACCATCACTCCAGGAGGGTTCATGATGGAAGCCTTCTTGGAAATTGGAGATTAAAAATTCCAGGGCTGGGTAGAGAAGAATGGAAAGGCATGCTAAGGTGGGAAGATGGTCTTAGAAGGGGATGAGAGGTGGGGACAGGCCAGTCAAAGCAGAGCTGGGAGTCAGATAGTTTTCTTAGAGAAGATAATCTCTAAGGGCTAATGGGAAAAGGGTGGGAAGTCTCAACCTTTGTAGCAGCCCCCTTTTCTGGAGAGATATGGTCATGGAAACAGACTCGAAATAGGCTTTCTTCTCACAGGAGCTTGACCCCTAGTGGGACAAATGGGAGGATGTGGCTCTCAAAGTTGTGAACTCTCAGCTTTTTGGCTATTGACTCATTGCAGAAAGAATTCACATCTCCTCTTCCTTTTCAGGATGTCTGGAGAGTGTCAGAGTGCCGTGTGCATTTGTAAGTAGCCCATTCAGAAAACCTTCTCCCTGGGTTGTAAAAAGGGAAACTAGAAACATTCTCATTGGCTGACTGGCAAGAAGGCCTGTTCCATCCCAGGAGGCCAGGCCATCTGACAGCGTCCAGGATCTCAGGCCACGGCCACACACTCTACCCCTAGTGTAAGCTGACAACCTCTCAGGCTAAAGCTAAAATCCCTCTGGTTTGGGGAGTGGCCTAGGTTGGAGAACCAGAAATTTCTATGGATACTTCTGGTTCCTGTTCTTGGGGGAAGGCACCAGGGGGCAGGCTAACTCTCACAGTTTGCAAACTGAGGCACTAGAGAAGTTAGCATCTTTCTCTAAGTCACATAGCCAAGCAGGGATGTAATACAGGCTTTGGCTTCCAGTGTCCCAGGCTTTTTGACTGAATTGTGTGCCTATTGTCTTGTAGCAGTGGTCAGCAATGTCACCAGCACAAGTGGAAGCTCTGGCAGTAGCCGTGGAATTTTTGGAGGGGTCAGTGGCAGTGGCAATGGTGGCTACAGAGGCGGCAGTAGCAGCGGCGGCTATGGAGTCAGTGGCGGCGGCAGCAGTGGCTATGAAGGAGTCAGTGGCGGCAGCAGCAGCGGCTACAGAGTGGTCAGCAGTGGCAGCACCGGGGGCAGGGGCAGCAGTGGGGGCTACCAGAGCAGCAGTAGTGGCAGCAGGCTCGGTGGTGCAGGTAGCATCTCCGGGAGCCACAGTGGAATGGGCTCCAGCTCTGGCAGCGTCCAGACTTCTGGAGGCAGTGGCTACAAGTCTGGTGGTGGAGGCAGCACCAATATCCGCTTCTCCCAGACCACCAGCTCAAGCCAGCATAGCTCCACCAAGTGATCTTCTGTGCCCAGTCTCTATAACCAGCTGCTTCCCACTCAGCCTGCAATAGCATTTCCCACTGTCTGCTTGGCATCAATAGATGCACATGGTTCAATCCACATTTTTCCTCAAATTCCCTGGAGAAGAAGCTGAACTCCTGGTTTCTCCAACCCCATGACCTTCCCAGGGCCATGGAGGTCCAGCTGCTAGTCTGGGATGATGATGCCCCTGGGAGACTCCCTGCAATGGCCCCTTACTTTGGACAGCAACCCCTGAGCCCAAGCCAGTCTCCATCTTTCAGCCTGGCCTGTTCCCACTCTGGCCCATCTCCTGCTCTTACTGGGAGTTGGTATTTAAAGCCAATCACCTCAGCACTCTCTGAGGAGGGCAGTGCCATGGGTTCAGTGCTAGAGGGTGCACGGTTAGGATCTCCAGACTGCCGGTTCCCAGGGAGCCCTCCCTACCTCTGGGCTTCAGATCCTGACTCCCTCCTGTCCTCCAATTCCCTGAGCTGTAGATCCTCTGGTGATGAGTATGTTGCACTTTCTTTTCTCAGTAAATTGCACTGAATTTCACATTCTGGTGTTTGTCTTTTATTCCAGGAGTCACAGAATAGATCATGACCCAAAAGTGATGAGAAATCAGGTGGGGGTGATGGTCTTCTGAGAATTTAAAAGTGGTTATAAAAACTACTGAATAGTTTTGGCTTCTCCATCTATTTGGTTGGAGTTCCTGTGATAGGTCTGTGTATGTCATTTAGCGGGAAACTTTCCCCACTCCCAAGAAAGTCATCCCATCCATCCTCCAGCCTCTGAGCAGGCCTCTGAAATCCAGTCTTTTAAGAAGAGGGTTCTGCAGTTCATCAAGGGAACAGATTCCACTGGGACTTCAGTTCCTTTGTTCCACCACCATCCCAGCCAGACACAGAACCAATCCTCTTTCTGCAAACACAGCTCTTGGAATCTGAAGGGTTCAATACGTAACATCCTCTTTTTCTTGCATAGGTTCTGAGCCCATAAAAAAAATAAGACAAATGAGCAGATGAGGGTCAATATTCCCTTTATTACCAACAAAGCAGATACTGGAGCATGTATCTTTCACCTTGAATGGAAAGGGTTTCCTATCACAGGCCCTCAGGATTAGGCCAGACTTTCCACCTGGGCAGAAGCAGCCTAGGGCCACTGTAGCCTTCCCTATCGGGTCAGATCCCTCGTCGTCAAGGGAGAACACAAGAGAGCAGAATATAAGCTTGCTATGGAGAGCCAGATCCTAAGAGATGGAAGGGTGTTGCTCTGCAAACTCAGCTCCTCCTTCCAAACTCAGTGATTGGGTAAGAGAGTGGGTGGGAGTGTTAAACGAGTAAACTCACTCCAGGCGGATGTAAAATTAGGAACAGAGATGGGTGCCAGCCCTCACACCAGCACTTACCAGCCATTCTCAGAAGGCTGAAAGCCAAACCCGGGGAGCACAGGGATAAGAAGACAGTCACTGAGAGAAAAAACAGGAAAATTGGGGACCTCAGGGAGATGACATTCAGAGTCTGTGATTTCCACCCCCACTCCCTGAACCTATCCCTTCTGTATGCCATTGAGCATGGCAAAACAGTAGTTTGTAAGTCACTGTAGATCGTGTATTACTGCCCAGAAGTCAGATCAGGGCTGGACTAACGAGAGGGCATCTGTACATTTGTCTGCTGTCCAAGGGAAGCTCCATATTTCTGAGCCTTGGCCCACCCTATGTTAATCTCTAAAGCACAGCAGCCCTGGCCCCAAAAATTGGAGAAGAGAACATTTTAAAGTTCCTATACCTGAGAGATGAATAAATCCTTGCCCATCTTTTCACAGCTTACAAGCAGGAGGTAGTGCCCTTTCTACTTTCCCTTGGCCTAGCTCTGGGTACTTTGAGCTCAGGGGCAGGCAGTCCTGAATTGTTGAGCTTACTGGCCTTGCAGAGACGCTGTAAGAAGCATCATCGGCTGTCTCCCCAACTCCCTGCAAGAAAACACCCTGGGAACTCTGCTCCATGTGTTGCTTAACTTAATGGGAAGAGGCTGACTGTCTTGAGTCAACCCAACTGCCTGAAGCAGCAGGGTTTGGAGACATCTGCTTTAGTCTCTTCATCCATCTGCTCCATGTGTGTTGATAATCTCGGGGCCCTGCATAGCAGGTGGGAAACTGAGTGAAAAATTGTTGGTCAATTGAAAGGATGAATAGAGATGAATAAGGAGCGTGCCCCTCCCCCAGTGCCCTTATTCTGAATGGAAGATGGGATAGGTCATACTCCAAGGTAGGACAGAGGGAAAAGTTCACAGCGAGGGCCTAGGACCCTCTTTTGAATTCTTATGAGGAGAAAGTGGTGGAGGGGGCTACCAAGGGAGGTAGCGAAAGACTTAAGGATACCTGGAATGAAAGGAAGGGGCCTATTAAGACAGGCACAGTTGGAGAAGAAGCCTGGAGCAGGCCTGGGAGGGAAAGAGACTGTGGGGAATACGGAGGAAGGGCCAGGGGTCAGGGCTCAGCTTTCCAGGCCAAATCCCAGGAGAACTCCAGGACTAGTGTCATCCTCCATGTTCTTGACACAGTGGCACTAAACCATGTGCCAGTGGAGCAGTACAGCAGAAGAAGCTCTGGGGTGAAGGCATCAAGTCTTAGACCAGAATGGGGACTGGGGAAAATAGAATATTTTTTAAGACCATGGGAGGTGGCAATCTTGAGCTGTCTCAGCCTTGAAGAATCCCTCAACCCATCGCCCATTTGAAAACAGAACCGGGGCAGCTCTTTGCTTTTGAAGGCAGCCAGGGTAAGTAGAGTAGGTATTTACCTGGGTGGAATGGTCAAAAGGGTGACAGGAGCCCTCCCGAATTGATACTTGAAATCCTACCAGTTCAGGATTAAACAATCTGTCTCCTAGTGGCAACTACTTTGTTATTTTCCATCCTTTATTCTTTATCCTTCACTCTTCTCCCTCTCCTAGATATCTGTTACTAAATTATAAAAGCAATACACATTTATAGCAAAAATGCATCAAATTTTAGCAAATTAAAAGATTAAGATCATCTACAATTCTACCATCCCGACATTTCCCTGCATTCATGCATGTGCATGCATGCACATGTATTCATAGAAAAATATAAAATATTTTACAGTGGGATCTTAACAACACATTTTGATTTTTAACTTGATTTTTCACCTAACACATTGTGGAACTTATCTATTCAGTTATTCAACAATTATTAATAGAGCAAATGCCTACTATTTTCCAGCTACTGTGCCAGGCCCAAGGATACAGGGGAGAGCACATATAGTTTCTGCACTCATAGAATTTATAATGTAGCTGATAAGAAATTTACCAAATAACACCTTTCCGTAACAGCAAATACAGTTGGAGATCATAATTTTCTTTGTCAGTGCAGATTGTTTTTACTTAAAAAGCAGAATCAAAAGTACACATTAGGAACTATAAACAATTATGTGTTTTTCTTTTTTCTAGAAGTGTGACATACATGTTTTATAGTCAGTAATGTTCTACTAAAACATTTTACTAACATGAAGCCAGACAGATGACCTTTGGTACCTCTGAAGCCTTTTTCTACCTCCTCTTACTCAGGTTGAACTAGACCAGTGGAACACCATTTTTTTGCAAGAAAGATTTTAACAGGAAGAAGGATAGAGTTGTAATTACAGAGCCTGAAGAATCACATTTTAGCAAACTCACCCTCACCCCAACCAAAAACTTAACAGACTGATTTCTATGGAAAGGATTTTAAGTAAATCTGTACAAACACACTTAACATGCTGTAAGAAAAAGATACCTTTCAGGTGACTTTCGGCAGCATGGCATACATTAATTGATGTCCAGTAGAATAGAAATTTCAATAAAGAAACAATTTTGCCTTCAAAGCACTGCAATTAAAAAGTACAAGCCATTTAGTACTTAGATCTTTAAGTGGCTAATCAGAAACTCTAAGATCAGACCTACTGGATCAGATCTACTGCCTGAATATTCATCTACAAAAATATTTTTTTCAACAGTGATGCTTAAAAATATAAAGGCTTCTCTAGAAACTGTGGGACTACATCAGGACTACAGAAGACAGTAATAAAATAACTGCAGACCCATGCCTAGGAATCGATTTTCTCATGTAGCTTTTGGTTAAGGACATCTTTTTCAGCTGCTTCCTTTGGTCAAGACTGGTTCTAGTTTTCTTATAATAGCGGGCAGGAAATAGGAGCTTCAGAAATCTCAATTCGGGGCAGTTGGTTTGAGTGACATCCTAGATAAACACTCCCAAAAAGTAGAATACCCTGCACAGGTGGATCCCTAGGGTTGATGGACTACAACTCTTACCCATGTGAAAGGGCTGTGAGCACAAGAAAGTTTGGTGCAAAGCCTGCCTGTGGTACTTGGGACAGGGAGTGTTTGTGATGGTGTTATTTTCCACGTGGTTGATACAGGAACATGTATGCTGAAAAAAGGGGTCTTCCAGGTGGAACACTTGACACAGTTTCTGTCCCAGAGTAGTCTGTCTCTCAGAAGTTCCTAAGAGAGGTGTCTACTTTGGCAGGGGCAGTAGGGTTACTGAATACAAGAACGTGTTTCAGGAATAGCAGAGGTCCCTGGAGGGTCAGGTAATTATCTTTTCGATCTACCAATACTTAACATTAATGAAGAGCTGCAGAGTCAGTCTTTCCAAGATATATTCTGTCATTAGGAACACATGCCTCTCCCCACCTACAGGGCCTGTGAGGTCCAGAAGGCTCCCACTGCCTGGAGATGGCAGCTAGTGTCACAGACCGTTTTGGATAGCTGGCATGGAAGGTGTTTTGCACGATGAAGTCACCACCAAATTACCAGTTAAATCCAGGGCCAAGTTGTGGGAAGAGCCACCTCCAAAATTGTCTGCAGTGGTAGATGGGATGACAGAGTGAGGCAAGGCTGGGAGAGACACAGAAGCAGGATTAGTCCCCCTAGGGATGTGGGGTCTGTAGTGGATGGGTGGTGGGCTCCCACCCTTTCGA